ATTGTTAAAGGGAGATAACTGCAAATTCAAAGTCTGAACATTGTCATTGATAACTCTCTCCTCCAATTTGCGGACCCTAGTTATTATATTCTTAATATTTGATATAATGCAAGTATATCACAATGATAAAATCGGTCAATAATTATTTATAACTATTTATACTGGGACTCATGCATGCAATCACAAATAATCCATAACAATATTTTAAATTTTGAAATCATATTTATTTTTGGCATGTGAATTTTTGGAAACTGTTTCTAAATATTTGATTATCTTTCAATCATTCTGCCTCACCTGCTATCCTCTTCTGCCACACCTATGAGACGTGCCGCACTGTTTGGGAACCACTGTACTAGAGCATCAAAAAATAAACTTAATTTGTTACTTATTAAACAATTAAATTTAATATCTTGTAACACTTAACAATAATTTATTTGTGATATGGTTTGCATGGCCAAAGAAATTTAGTTTGGTATTTTTTAGAAATAATTTTTTTTATTTTTAATCTCTTCTACTATACAAATGAAAAAAGTTTGTTAATTATTACAGTGGTAAAGTAATGTATTTGTAGACAAAAGGTTTATGTCTATATCTCAGGTGTCAGGTTAATAAAATGTGAAACTAAACTCTTGGAGAAGCAGAACTCTTAAAGGGAAAATCCTTCCCTCTAGCTTCAACTTCAAAGCTGCTGAATTATATAAATATTTAAAAAGACATGAGATTCTTTCTTCTTTGTCACTAACTTTAAACCCTAAAATCAAGATATATTTAACCCATATATAATTAATACATATTCTAAGGATTTATCTCAAGCTGGTGACTTCATTTTTAGAGTAATAAGAATTTTTTCTTAAAATTTGGGTAAAACCTCTTATTTGCCGCTTGCTTTAGAAAGTGGATGGTTATCTGATAAACTTTGACACTATAAACAAAAGATGTACTAAATCTTAACTAAAAATTGAGCATGCATGATGAAAAAATGCCCCAAACTTAATAAAAAAAAGTTTCATCATCAAAATCTTTGTTATTATTAAGAGGGAAAGACCAAAGGATTTTTTGATTATTATATTTTTTTTATCCATTTTAGAATGTTTAGAATTTTTGTTAAATTTTTTTTTTTCTTTTTGACCTCAGCTGGGGACCAAAGATTAGTATGGGAAATTTTAGTGTCTTTGATGCATTACTTGATGATGATAGTAGTATTGAAAATGAGTATCAGAATTTTGATAATGAAGACAATAAATTTTAATGGTAACTGTACTGTTTTGCTCAATTGTAATAATTGCTTGATTTTTATTTTGTTTCCTTAATTTGGATATTTTTTTTATAGGCTCTTGTTCTTTTTATCCTATTATTTTTTGTTTAATTGTAATCGTGGCTTGTTTAACCAAAATAATACCTCATAAATATAGCCTAGGCTGTACCATTTACTAATAATTTTACTAATTACTATTTTTTTCTTAATTTGCCTTGCTGAAATTGGAGTGCATCTTATATACCGTCAAATATACTATTTCATTATCTATTAAGAAACTGGAATACAGTCTTTTAATTTATATGACAAGCATACATTATTGTAATCCAGTTAATTTTCTGGCCAATTGTTGAATATCAAATATCAGTTTTATCAACAACTTGAATACACAATAAGCATTGGATCTGTGGAAATCTTTTCATATCAAATGTTAATTCCTTATTTATCCTATAAGATTAAAAAAACAATAAGCTGACCAATGAAGCATTTGAGCTCATAGCTCCAACAATTTTATCTACTGTCATTCTCTGTTTGAAACAGGTTATATCTGTTTCTTATACCAAAACCACATTTAAGGGTATTAGTCTCTCTCCTTGATACCTGTCTCCTAAATTATATCAGTTTGTTTGGAAGTTATGTATATTATTTATATTTAGACATAAATAACTAATTCAATTAAAGAAATAAAAATGGTTTCACTATATCTTGTTGACATACTGAATTTATATACTCTTATGAAATTTAAACAAACATAATTACATTATATACTGATTTGCTTGGAGCAGTAACCTTATCTTGATTGTTATTACTGCAAATACCCAAAGTGAGGTCTCCACCTCCTTCTTGTTCTTCTTCTCCCTCTTAATACCTACAGACGATAATGGGTATGTCCCCATTCACATAAATACAATAGTAAATACTGTATGTTTGTCTGCAGCTGGAGATGAATCTCCAGCTGTGCTGGTCAAACTCTCTGTCTCTGGGTAGAGAAGAGGATTCCCAGACGAGGCTCTGTTGAAGGACAGAGCCTCGTCTCGAGGAAACAGCTACCTGACCCCATTTTATACAGGGTCTACAGGGAATTTTTAGTCGAGCCTACAGACTCAGATACCCCACATTAAATTCAGCCTTGTGCCATATCTGACCATGTGGGGCAGTTGGTAGATATCCTGCAGTTGGTAATTCATTGTGAAATTCACTTGACTCACTTCTTGCAGTTGACTACTTCTTTTACGCGTCACTGACAAATCTTATATGTGTTCTTATCCTAAGTATTATCCTTCATTACCAACCTTCATTTGATTATTCTATTCAGTAACCTTCCCTAGGTTACAACATTAAGGATGTTGGTGATCATGGCTCTCCACAATTTCCTGTCCTTTATAGCTTTTAATAAATTTTGTCTTTTTGCTATCTTCCCTAAACCCTGTTCTGCCAACCATTTACATAAGTTTGTTAGGTAAGTTATACACTGTTTTCCTCTATTCCTCTTGCCTTCAGTATGTCCTTTGAGTGTCAAATTTTCTAAGCCCTCTTTCCTTGTTATGTGTCATTGAAATTTCAATTGTCTCTTTTTAGTGTTAAGTATAACTATCCTTTTTGTTTTCATGTTCTCTAAAACTTTGTTCAGTCCATGGTATTCTCAGCATCCTTTTGTAGAACCAAATTTCTGCTGCTCTCTCCTTCTTCATATGTGAGAAGATTGCCTAGCATTCACTATCATATAAGAGGACTGATATTACATAAAAGTTCAGAACTCTTTTCTTTGTTTCTAATGAAATTTTCCTATTCCTTAATGCTTTGCTTAGTTTTTGGAAGGCATCTTTTGCTATCTCAATGCATCTTCAGATTTCAGTGTTGCACTTTCCATTTTAAATTGTTATATTTATTTGATCTCTAGTCCAATCAAATCAGTCAATAATAATAATAACTAACAGAACCTTGTGAAAATTTCAGTTTTCCTATTTGAATTTTCTAATGTATCATAATATTTAATGATTAAATAAGATCATTGAGAGTTCCACAAGTACAAATACCCATGGAAACCCCTCTATTGTATTGTTAAATAATTGAGCTTAACAACGTTAATCAAATATAGCAATAACAATCATAAGTATGAACGCAGGTCATTATTTAAAGAAGTAAGAGGGTACAAATGAAAAAAATTTGAAATTGATAAGTTTTTCCATTTCACTGAAGCAGATATGAAACACATGAGAGCATTATTGCTTCTCTCTCTTACTTTTTCTCACTGAAACCAAATAGTGTTTTTGATACATCCTTTCCCTATGATAAAAAGGAATAGTCCATTATTTATGTTGTATTGCCAAGATATATCATACATGCTAACTAACAATGGAATGAAGGTACAATTAGAATTATGATTCATCTTACCTCAAATTTAATCACCTGTCATGTTTATATTTACATTTGGCTGTTGATTCAGGTTACTCTTTTTAATGTCATTATGATATTGCATCAATCTTCTTATGGGAATATTTTAATAATTTTTAATCATGAAATTCTTGATCATATGCTACTCTGAAGTAAAAAATAGAAATTATTATAATTATTTAAAAAAAAATTTTTTCATCATTTTATGCCAAACAAGGTGATAATGCCACTAAGACACCAGAGGTTACTGAGAATGAAAGAGAATGAGAAGACTTTACTGAGGAGAAAGGACAATTAAAGAACAGGTTCAGGAAGATGGTGATTGACATTGCATTTCAATTTTTGAATATTGTAGTTGATGAGAAAACAAGAAGCTGGAAGAGTTCCTCAGACAAGAGGTGTGAGGAAAGAAAGTATTAAAATAGAACTTATTGTTACATCTAGCTATTTCAACTGTAAAATAATGAAACCTAGTTGCCAATCTGGTAGAATGCTTAAATTTATACAGCTGAGATACTGAGGAGTGTTCATCTGAACAATTGCCATAAAAACATTTATAGAAAAGACAGAGGGAAGTGGTAAAATGACTGAAGTTGAATTCAGGACCAATTAAATTACAGACCTTTCTTTGGATTTTGTTCAATCTTTTGATATATTAATGAAGCTCCATACCAGATATGGCAGCAATATTCAATGCACTGATGAATGGTAGATTTATAAATGTTCAAGATCTATATTTGTATTCATGATGCATTTGCACACATGCATAGAATATAAACACAATTATAAAATTCTCTATTAAATATCTGGAATACCAGGTGCTGTAAGCTTGGATGTGTGGGTGGTGTAATGAATTATGGCTCAGATTTGGAAATCAGAACCGAATTCCAATTCTGTTGGAGTCATTACATTGACCTTACTTTGAGAAAGGGATGAATCCACTTCTCCCTCCAGCTATGGGTTAATTAGTAGAACTTGTATCATTAAACCATTATCTCTCCTCCCACCAAGTCTTACAATCTAAAAATATTTTCTGTTTTTAATTATCTTGCAAAGGGTTGATATAATGTATAGAAAACAAATGAATCTATCAATATTTGTGAGCAATTAATGACCTGTAAGTTTGTGTTTTTAGCTTATTAGAGTTATATGATAAATATTAAAATTAAAAACATTTTGTGTGTGTGTGTGTGTATATATATATATATATATATATATATATATATATATATAATTTTCATTAAGATATTTGAAACTTTTGCTTGTATGTATTTATTTTGATCTTAATGTTCATTTTACTTGCAAAATATATTTCATTACGTAAATTCATTTTTACTATTTTCTATTTCAGTACGTTTACATGACAGTATACAGGATGAAGGTTTTCATTACCTGGTCTTTGATTTGTAAGTATGAAATCTTATTATGCTATTTATATTAATAAGCCTAATTATTCATACAAATAGTTACATAGGTACATCATCAGAAAATTAAATTAACAAAATAATTTCAGATTCTAGTTGCTGAACATTGTTAATATTTTATTATAATGCTCTAGAAAAGTTCACCAAAGTTAAGCAATGTCGTGCCTGGCCAGTGATCGTTTGGAAATACCAGGTGTTATAATATTGGATGTGCAGACAGTATAATTGATAATAGCTCAGAATTGGAGATTGGAGAGCTGAGTTCCAATTCCAGTCAGGTTCGTTATATTTGTTACATATTATATATATATATATATATATATATATATATATATATATATATATATATATATATATAGTAGTACTTTATCAGTAAATTATTATAATCTCAAAAGAATTTTTTACAATCTAAAAATATTTCCTGGTTTTAATTAACCTGCAAAAATTGATAAGCCATTAAAAAACAAAAATTAAATATAGAAAAAGTTCAAAACCAAATATTTTTTGATCTCATCTATTGCCAGCCAGTCATATTCTGATTTTGTTATTGGAACGTAACTGTAGAATATTTACAAATTTCTTTCCAATCAACCACTATACAAACCATTGAAAACCTTGAAATGAATTGTTAAAGTACCTTCTTTTAATTTTTTTTTTTTTTATAGTATTCATCTCATATTAACCTATAGCAATAGTAGTTTTTATTTTAGGAAAAGAATTGCATTAAGAAGACACTTCCTAAGTAATATCTTTATCTCTTGCAATAACCTTCAATGTACACTTCAAAACATATATTTAAGAATAGTACATATCTGAATTTTCTTAGTTGAATTTGTTTGTTGTAATCCTTGCAAGAACCTGTATTATTAAGTTTTCTTGAGGGCACAATGTGATAGATATAAATGCAATCAAGTTTTCTGTAAGCCATGCATCGTTTCTTGGGCAAGATGGCCTGACAGAGCTCAGCACTCTCCAGGCCAGTTTTGAATTCAGTTTCCTTCTCTTAGATCGGTTGCCACCCAAGGCTATAGAACCCAGTCTGTCCTGCTATGTACCTATAGTTGGAGGGAGAAGAAGAGGATTGATACCTTTCCCAAGGGTATTAGTACATAAGTGAATGTAATGAATCCAACTAGAATTTGAACTCAACTCTCCGATTCCTCAATCCAAGCCACTATCCATTACCCTACTGTGCCTCCTATATATATGTTCAGATATAGTAACATCGGTTCTAGTTCTCTATTTTAAAGTTAAGTCGTATAGTCACATATATTTTCATTTAAAGCTTGAATTTAGCTTCAAAGTTTTCATTTCTATTTTCAACTTATTCAGGAGGGTTAAAGTTGTATACTGTTGTTCCCCAGTATTTGCAAGGGATTGATTTCAGGAACTCTTCATCTTGCAAATACCAAAATCTGTAAATGCTCAAATTCCTTATACAGAAGAACCTTAGTTCTTGAACATCTCACATGTCGAACAAATCAGTTTTCGAACAAAATTTTGGGTCCTGAACAACATAGCTGAACAGAGTTAACACGGACGGAATAATTTCTGAGTCAACCACCATGTTGTATATATTCATGTGTTGTGTTGTGCTTTTCTTTTCCAATTTTATTGTACTGTGACTTTTTTCTCTACATTTATTCCTATTAGAAAAATAGTTTTGGTTTACAAACATTTCAGGTTATGAATGGCCTTCAGGAATTAATTAAATTTGTGATCTGAAGTTCCACTGTATAAAATGGCTTGCATTTGTATATGTCCTATTCTCTCATATATCAAATCATCTCCAGATTATTTATAATACTTAAGACAATGTAAATGCTATGTAAATTGTTATTATACAATAGATATGAACAAAGAAAATTGATATGGAGAACATTCTATTCCAAGAAAAAGCAACAAAGGATGCATATAAATATTAAACAAAAGGCTCAAAGGTAAATAATGTTCAAACAATGAGTACCAGAGAGAGACTGGGATCTTTGAAATGACAAGAGACTAGAGCAGAGTATATGCACATTACTTGATCTATATATCTGAGGTATGATGAATTTTTTTAAATTTTTTTTTTCTGAAGGATATGTATTGAAAACAGCCTGATTCTAAAAATCTCTAGGAATAAATATGCTAAACATCCAGAATGGCTACCCATAGGGAGCATAAATTTTGGTTTATAATAATTGTTGTTGAATTTAAAATGATCTAGTTTTATACATTGTCAACATAACTTGATAATGTCATTAATGGATAGAGATCTACTGTAATATTCACAGTGGCAAATTTGAGTTTTGATTTTTGGATCTTCACTGAAATTTCAATTCAATTGGTTGAATCTACAGAGGTAAAATCTGCAGATATAAAGGCCATCTGTAATTATCCTATCAAACTTATAAAAATATATATTTTTATAACAATTTTACAGTTGCATAATTTTGGGTTTAAGTAAACTAAGTGATTGCAGTTTTTGTTCCCCATTAGGAGTAGATAGGTTTGCCTACTGTTTGGTTCATACTCCTCTTCTTTCTTTTGAACAGTAGAGGTTTATCCCTTGTTTCCTGATTAGGATTGGGTTTCCAGTTCCTTATAAAGTCTGTGACAACTCTTTATTTCTAATGTCTCTGCATAAACTCTGAAATTTTATTTACTGTTTATTTATATATTTTTTTTTTCTCTCAAGAGAAGTAGTTATGTTCATCTATCACCTGGTTCACTCTCCTCCCTGCTCTTTTGAACAGGAGTAGAGGTTTATCCATTTCTTGTTTAGGATTGGGTTTCTTGTTTAGGATTGGGTTTAGGATTGGGTTTCTTCTAGAGTCTTCTCATTCTCTTTCACACCAGGTCACCCCTTGCATCTTCGTCTTGTTTGGGGTGAATCAATTAAAAAAGGCTCTATTTTTATTTTATTTTTTTTATTAAGCTTATCAGATTATGGAAGAACACCAGTTGATTTCTAAATCTTAATTAATAAAACATTGTCACATGGTTGCTGTTCCTCTTAGAAATACATTAAGTTTGTTACATTTTAATGATTTAACTTTTTAGCAATGGTTTGTGAGACTAACACATTTTATAGCAGATCTTAGGCGACAGATGTAAAAGATTTTAGTGTTTTTGTATCTTCATTTGCTACAATATAATCATGCCATTGTTTCTTATAAAGCTTCCTCTATAAAATATAGATACAGTGAGCTCCTGCCTATTCACATTTCAGCATTCACAGCTTCACACATTTGTGGATTTTTCTTTAGAACATATGTACTTGTTATTCATGGAAACCCCAAATATTCACTGGGGTCTTAAAAGTAGCCTATGATAAGTCTGGGGGCACCATCACAGTTCTGTTTTTAGAAAATGTTTTAAACTTTATATTTTATGATTTGTTACACCTATTTTATACAGTATTTTCAATGGTTGTATCGATCTATGTATAATTAAAAACAGTTATTGTATATATGAAAGAAAATTTACAATGGATGTATGGTCACCAATACTCTTTTTCAAAAATGTTATAAAAAGGGTCTGAAATGTTTCTAAAGTGTTTAGGATGAAAGTTTAAAATATATGGGGTTTTAAGAATCAAAATAGGTACTTAGCACTTTTTTGGGGGGTGGGGTAACAAGTATTCGCAGATTCTAACTATTCACGGCTGGTCCTTAGTCCCTGTAAATACAAGGTACTCACTGTATTTACACATTTGGCTATTGAAGATTTTGCAAATACAAAAATGGACTGACTGATTATGTGTGCATGTGTGTTTGGGGCGGGGGTCCTCAGTATCCCCCCCCTCCAAAAAAAAATACATAAAAAAAATAAAAATAAAAAATTCAATACAATTTACACTGTTTCAAGTGCAGTGCTAGTTTTTTTTTTTAAGTTTCTGTAAAATTTATTGATGACATCTGTTTTCTCTTTTAAACTTCAAGTTTATTTTTATTGTAATGGATTTTCTAATAAATGTGCACTCACATAATTTTAAGTAGTCATTATTAGCTTATAGTGAGTTGTAACTTTTTGTGTTTTTTTTATCTTTTTGGTAGATAGACATAACTGCATAGTTTTTATGACTGGTCTGTATAGGTGTGGCTAAATATTTATGGTACTTCTGTGTGTGTAGGAGTTTATAACATTTTTAGTCCCTTGGTTGGGGAGGTGTAGTTATATGATAACAAAAACCTTTTTTGTGTCTATGTATATGTAGGTATATAGTTTCCTTTAGAAATTCATGAAACTTATTCATGTGGACAAGTGTCCCTCTGATAATATGCACACACACATATATATATATATATATATATATATATATATATATATATATATATATATTGTAAGACATAAGCATACATCCAATTGTGATAATAGATTATATGAAGCTAACCAAAAGGAGGCTGCTTTTTTTCTTTTTTTCTGTGGTTTGAAATTATATTTTTTCCCTCTACTTGAGTGAATGTAGGATAATGAATTCAATAGGTAAACATGGTAAGAAAGAATCTTGAGCTGGGTCATTTCTTTGAATATGTGTTATTTAAGCCAAGTTAAACCTTAGAGTTTGTGATTTCCAGTTTCTTTGAGTTTTTTTGGGTCCCTCTTTATTGTATAACTTTAATCAAAAGGATATACAAATTCATATGTCTTAGTTTTTAATTCAGTTGGATTTTTTAAAAATTTTGCTTGGTGTATGTTTTGCTATACATGGGTGTTGACTAGTTGATATGGTACTTTACTATCAAATTTTTCTACTTTTTTTTCTTTTTTCTCAATAATCATTTCACTCCAAGCAAGGTGATAAAACCACTAAGATGGAAGGGGTTACCGAGAATGAAGGAAACTGAAAAAACTTTATTGACAAGAAAGGACAATAAAAGATTGTAGTTGATGAGAAAGCAAGAAGCTGGAAGAGTTCCACAGGCAAGAATAGAAACTATTAGAATAGAACTTAGGGTTGCACTTAACAATTTCAACAGTAAAATGACAAGACCACG